TTGTTCGGAGTCCCAGATGAGATCCCGGACGTCACGAGGAGTTCCGGAATGGTCTGGAGGTAAAGATTTATATATAGGAAGTCCAGTTTCGGCCACTGGGAGAGTTTCGGGAGTCATCGGTATTGTACCGGGACCACCAGAAGGGTCCCGTGGGTCCACCGGGTGGGGCCACCTATCCCGGAGGGCCCCATGGGCTGAAGGGGCGTGGGAACCAGCCCCTGGTGGGCTGGTGCGCCCCCCTTGGGCCTCCCATGCGCCTAGGGTTGGAAACCCTAAGGGGTGGGGGCGCCTCCACTTGGCTTGGAGGCCAAGCCACCCCTAGGGCTGCCGCCCCTCCCTAGATGGGATCTACAAGGGGCCGGCGCCCCCCTAGGCCCCTATATATAGTGGAGGGGAGGGAGGGCAGCCGCACCTGAAGCCCTGGCACCTCCCTCCCTCCCGTGACACCTCTTCTTCCCTCCTTGCGCTTGGCGAAGCCCTGCAGGGATCCCGCTACTTCCACCACCACGCCGTCGTGCTGCTGGATCTCCATCAACTTCTCCTTCCCCCTTGCTGGATCAAGAAGGAGGAGACGTCTCCGCTCCATACGTGTGTTGAACGCGGAGGTGCCGTCCGTTCGACACTAGGATCATCGGTGATTTGGATCACGACGAGTACAACTCCATCATCCCCGTTCTCTTGAACGCTTCCGCTCGCGATCTACAATGGTATGTAGATGCACTCCTCTCTCTCTCTCTCTCTCTCTCTCTCTCTCTCGTTGCTAGATGACTCCATAGATTGATCTTGGTGATGCATAGAAAATTTTAAATTTCTGCTACGATCCCCAACACTATGTAGACATGACCGAGACATGTCTCCGGTCAATAACCAATAGCGGAACCTGGATGCTCATATTGGTTCCTACATATTCTACGAAGATCTTTATCGGTCAAACCGCATAACAACATACGTTGTTCCCTTTGTCATCGGTATGTTACTTGCCCGAGATTCGATCATCGATATCTCAATACATAGTTCAATCTCGTCATCGGCACGTCTCTTTACTCGTTCCGTAATGCATCATCCCGTAACTAACTCATTAGTCACATTGCTTGCAAGGCTTATAGTGATGTGCATTACCGAGAGGGCCTAGTGATACCTCTCCGATACACGGAGTGACAAATCCTAATCTCGATCTATGCAAACCAACAAACACCTTCGAAGACACCTGTAGAGCGTCTTTATAATCACCCAATTACGTTGCGATGTTTGATAGCACACAAGGTGTTCCTCCGGTATTCGGGAGTTGCATAATCTCATAGTCATAGGAACATGTATAAGTTATGAAGAAAGCAATAGAACAAACTAAACGATCATTGTGCTAAGCTAACGGATGGGTCTTGTACATCACATCATTCTCCTAATGATGTGATCCCGTTCATCAAATGACAACACATGCCTATGGTCAGGAAACTTAACCATCTTCGATGAATGAGCTAGTCAAGTAGAGGCATACTAGGGACACTCGGTTTTGTCTATGTATTCACACATGTACTAAGTTTCCAGTTAATACAATTCTAGCATGAATAATAAACATTTATCATGATATAAGGAAATATAAACAACAACTTTATTATCGCCTCTAGGGCATATTTCCTTCAATCATTAGTCCATGGAGATTGTCATCAATTGCCAAAACCAAACACGGGGGCACCACATGTTCTTTTACTTGGGCCTCCCTCTCTCAGAGGTAGTTCAAACACGTCGATTTTCAATATCCTGAGGACAAAATTGCAACAAAGTAGGTTCATTGGGAGGGGAGATACATTGTTGCCTAGGGTGCAGGGTGCTGGTCATGTCGGTCCTCACTTCTCTGGTGGTGTACACCGCTACCGCCTTGCCATCCCACCCGGTTCCCTCGACAAGATCACCAAGGTGGAGCGAGCCTTCCTCTGGTGAGGCTCCAGCAAAACGACAGGGGCCAAGTGTAAAGTTAGCTGGGATAGTTTCTGTCGCTCAAAGGATCTTGGGGGCCTTGGGGTGCTAAACCTTGCTAAATTTAGCCAAGCTCTTTGTTTGTGATGGTTATGGTATGAATGAAAAGAGCCTGAGCAGATGTGGATAGGCTTGGGAAACCCATGCGCTGAGGATGACAAGGAATTTTTAGACGCCTCTACTACTATCACCATTGGCAATGGGACTTGCGCCCCCTTCTGGGACTCCCCATGGCTCGATGGTTGCAAGCTTAAGGACATTGCACCATTGATTTTTGAGGCCTCCAAGAGGAAAGACTGGAGGGTAAAGGAGACCTTATATGTTGGTGTCTGGATCAACAAGATCACATGTTGACTGTCTCACCACTGACCATCTCCTCCAGTTCACCACACTTTAGATATCCCTTCGTGGGATTCACCTCTCCGAGGATGTGGAGCACAATATCTTATGGAGATGAACAAACCCGATGGGACTTACTCCGTGCCATCTGCTTATAGGGTGCATTTCTTGACTATCACTTGTACATATATGTGCAAGACCGTTTGGAAAGCTTGGGCGCCTTCGAGAGTAATTTCGCATGGCTTGCCACCCATGATTAGATTTGGACCTGCGCCCGTTTGGCTAAGAGAGGATGGCCAAACTATGGCCGTTGCCTGCTTTGTAAAAGGGAGCAAGAATCCTCGTTGATCACCTTTTTATTCAAGTGTCGTTATACGTTAAGGCTCTGGGCTTTGGTTAAAGATTGAATCCATCTTATCAACGTTGACACCTCCGCTAGGCAACATCTACGAGCATTGGTGGAATCATTGGTGGGCTCAGGTTGGGATGGCTTCCGCCCAAATAATCCATGAGCAGGTAATGCCTTCTCTCACCATCCTCTTAGTAAGACGATTTGGGATGAATGGGACACATGTGTATGCTGGAACCATGACACTCCTCCGTTTATATCCTCCTACAAGCCATCAAGAAAGAGGCAAGGCTTTGGGCCATTGCGGGCGTGAAACATTTGAGTGCAATCTTGCCGGGAGAGCAGTGATCTTATAATTCTGTTTGTTCAATTTCCTTTGTTCCTGCAACTCTTGTCAAACTCTTTCTTATTTAATGAATGAGACAACTTTTTGCCTCCGTTAAATAAAAACTAAAAGAGGGAACGTGTCTAGTCACATCTTTACGTTGTAGGCCTTCTTTGACTGGCATGATTCTCTTCTGAAAACTAAATGTCGGAATGTGTTAGAAATGTGCGTTGAATACGTATGGTTTTGTTTTAAAACTAAATGTCGGGATATGTTGAAGAAAAGTCTAATAATGTTCTGCATGAGCTAGTTAGGATAGGCAGTTTCCATGACTCTGTGGTTGGATAATCTTCCCGAGTCTATTTTACACGTAATTTTGGACGATGTAAACCTTGTTTAAATTAATGATAATGAAGCTACCCATGATAATTTCAACATTGGTACATGAAACGACAATATATGAAGAACGGTAGGCTACGTTAAAATTAAACGTTGGTGCGAGTTTTGATGTGGACACGCTTCAGGGGACGGTTGGAGTAGTCATCCGAGACCATCATGGAAAGTTCATTGCAATTGCCAGTGAAAATATTGATCTTTGCTTTGACTCATTCATAGCGGCAGCAGTTGCAGTGGGGTTTGGAATGAACCTTGCACATACAGTTGGATACAGTAAGATCAAGGTCAACTCTGATAATGCAGAGGTTGTTGCCGCCCTAATCGATGGTTACTCTTCTTCGGTAGCTTTTGGTATCTTTGATGACTACAATTTTACGTTGCTTGACTTTACTCATGTCATCTATGATAATTGTAGTAGAGAAAGAAAAATCAAGTAGCTCATTAACTTGCTAGGATAGCTAGATTTTCTCCTCCAAATCTATCAATGGACACCGCTCTGGATGCGGTTACGATCCTTATGAACGAATACAAAAGGAGATGATTGTCAAAAATAAGTATCGAGGTAAAATATTTGTAACATAATCTTCGTGACGACCCCACTTTTTCCAGAATATGTGGCCCGCATTTTTTTTGGGCATCAGTACAGACACAAGCGCTCATATACACGCGCAAACACTCATCCCTATGAACGCGCACACGCACACCCTACCCCTATCCAGGAATAATGCGAGCACCAGGATTTGAACCCTGGTGGGTTGGGGATACCACTGTCCACCTAACCAACTCAACCACAGGTTGATTCGCGGCCCGCATTTTCTTTTGAATTATTTGGATCTCATGCCACATATGTCACGTGGTATGTGACCTGCATTTTGGCTGATGTAACTAAGAGCAAAGGAAAAAAATATTTTGGAGCCAAAATATTTTGGGCCGAGAGGCCTCTACCATTGTCCTGTTTGTACCCACATGGGCCTCAGCGGGACGGGGTGCGTCGGTAGGCTAGGCCTCTACATCGTGTTATTTATACCTTTAGGGTTTTCGGCAGCTCGCCTCCACAATCTCGTACGCGCCGCCGCCGTCGTTCTGAGGTTTGTCGCCCTCCTCTCTCCTTTTTCTAACCTTCGTCTTGAGGAGCACATCTCATAAAAACCCTACGTACCCTTCGCAGCGGCAGCCCGGCCGGCGTAAAGGATGGAGAAGATGAAGGAGGAGGAGGAGCAGCAGCATCCGGCGGCGGCGGAGATCCTATCGCGGGCAGGTTCGCAGGTACAGCAGCAGGCCGGGTACAGGACGGGGAAGGTGGAGGATGAGCAGCCGGAGAGACTTTGGACGGACCTTCTGCCTAAGATCCACCGGGAGATCCTGTCGCGGGTGCCATACCGGTCGCTGTGCCGCTTCAGATGCGTGTCGAAGGCGTGGCTGGCGCTCTGCTCCGACCCGGCCGTCCGCAGGAGGTCGCCGCAGACGCTCTCCGGCTTCTTCTGCTACTCCCAACTCGACGTCGGCGGCGGCCAGAGCCGCGAAGGCCTCAGCTTCCTCAACCTCTCCGGGTGGGGCCGGCCGCTGGTCGACGACCCCTCCCTCCGATTCGTGCGCGGCTAGCACGACGTCAAGCCCATGCACTGCTGCGGCGGCATCCTCATCTGCCACTGCTTGAAGGCGGCCATGAGCAAGGAGGCGGACTACGTCGTGTGCAACCCCGCGACGGAGGAGATGTGGGCCGTGCTGCCCGTGCCCTCCAAGAACCTCAGCACCGCCCACCTGTGTTTCGACCCGGCCGTCCCCCGCTGTTTCAAGGTGTTCCTGTTCGTGCAAAGTTTTGAGGGGATCCAGAGGGTGGAGGTCTACTCTTCGGAGACCGGGCAGTGGACCTCCATGCAGAGCCAGTGGAGCCATGATATTCTCCTCATGGGGAAGCATTCAGAATGTGTATTCTTCAATGACACCCTGCATCTGGTTGCCGACAATATGATCGGGTTTATGATCCAGGAGGGGAAAGTGATACGCTCCATGGTTACAGTGCACACGGAGGGGAAAGCCTGGAGGAGCATCAGAATGCCGGATGACATCCATAATGGTTTCATCGGGCAGTCACAGGGGCGCATATACGCCACACGCTTAGAAAACGGAGATGATTGTTGTCTATCGGTCTGGGTTCTTAAAGATTATGCTACGGGAGAGTGGACTCTGAAGTGTACCGCCAGCATTCCCGAACTGCTAGGAAGGCCTCACCGCAGGCACAGCGAACTCTACACGTTGGTCGCGATCCATCCCGAGTGCAGCTTGATCTATCTAGCAGGCGGGGTGAGGCTGGAAAACACACTTATGTCGTACGATATGGATAGCGGTGAGTTGCAGATCCCTTGGGCGAAATCTGCTTGCATGGTGTCAAACAACACCAATACGTGCTACACTGAGAACAGGGTTATATTTTATTTGCCTTTTGTAGGGGAAGAGAATAACACAACTGCACAACTCATTAAGTGACACCACTGGTTCGTGGTGAAGATTGTTTGTGTGATGCCATGCAGGTTCAGTGTGCATCAGCATCACTCTTAACACCCCACAGTGTGTTGTTTATCCTTTGTTCCGAGTAAACTGTCCATGACCATTATTATTGTTCTGCCTCGAGCTCCTGACCAGACTGTTATACCATCATCTTTACGTCAATCCAGGTTGTTGCCCAACTGAATCAATTTCTGAAGCATCCTAATATTTTCATATCCATAATTTAACTTATGGAATTTTCTCAATCTATATTGTGCATCGAGTTCTTATATACGCAAGCTGGCATTCTTTGGAGATTGCTATTCAATGGGTTTTAGCAACTTCTTTTAGGCTGCTAAAGTTAAGCAGAAACGAATCAAAACCAAGTCAAATCTGGGTATAAAACTAGTTCTTACTTTGTTTTCGACTTGGAGGTTGTGTCAAGAGACTAGAAAAATTAAGACTTGGAAAATAGTGTGGCTCTCTTTTGCATCATTTGAAACACTAGCCTCAATTAATTTATTCACCCAAGCATTCAACACATGGGTACAATTATTCTATCACACAGCAGGATCCTTTGAAATCTAAAACCAGGAATGTAATGCTACACTGTAAAACAGAACTAAAAAGACATATTGTATTCATGCGATTTCCCCCACAAAAGATAAAAATGCATGTTTCATGGAAATGCGGCCTTTAGGCTCTTGGCTAATTCTTCTAGCTTCTTTAATTAATCCTTCTTCAGGAGAGCCAGATTCGCTCTTGAAGCAACAAGCTTGTCAAAGATTGCACAAACGAAAGAGGATAAAACAAGATATTTTGCTGAGCAGGAGAGTTGCTGGATATGATTTACCTGCTTCACCTGCTCTGGAGTCGACACTCCAAAACCAACAGCAACAGCTTTATCTGTGACCTATAATAAATAAGCAGACGATGTTCTATAAGCATCGTTGAACAAGATGCGCACTGCACAATAAGGTAGCAGTCCAAAACTAGTTCACTGAGTAACAATAAAGAAAAGACTTGCAAACCTGCTTGATTTCCTTGAGAAGAGCTTCCACCTTGAAACCTACGTTTGCACGTGTGCCAGTAACTCCGGTAGTGCTTACCTGAATATCAAATATTACCGCAACTTAGCAAGTACCGTATCATGTAACTGGTTACGCAGGTTCAGCACTTCAACAATGTCAACTTAATTCCATTTGTTGATGAATCACATAGCCAAATGGAGAAGTCACAGAACATAACCAAGGCGTCTCAGCCTTTGTAAACAGTAGTGCACATTTCATTATATTTTTCAGTTTAGCAATTAGCACACAGCTAGCACCAGGATACATGTCAGCACAAAAACATGTCAACCCAGCCTCTATTAAAGTGAAAAAGCATGACATGACAGAAGCATGTGCCTTTCTTAAGTTTATGAAGTCATCTTCCGATGATAAATTCTCTCGACAAAATTTAAAATGACAAACTACTGTACTGTACTCTTGTTAAGTTCTGCCATCATGAGAACTTTCTGATCAGCAATAAGGAGAATGTGCTATATGAGAACAGAGTTTAAGGGTGCAAAAATAATTTGGAGTTCTGGACACTTACAAGATAAACGAATCCTTCTGAAACCTTTGTAATTCTCTCCATTCTTTCTGTTGGTGTAGTTGGTGTTGTTAGTAACACCTGCAGGAATTCATGCAAATAAAATAACTTAAATAAAAGACATAAGAAAATTGATGTAAACAGCTGCACAAACAAAAGAGGCATCTTCAATATTCCAGACTAATCAGCACCTGACGCTGGTTATTATGAAGTTTGAAATTACAGCAAAGCAATGAGCTAATAAGCATAACTCATCACTGCTTAAATAAGAAATATCAAACATGGTTTTTCTTCGAAGATGGAGAACTAATGAGAATATTCAACCCTAATTGGTTTAGACACAAGAAATGGAAAAAGAAAACAGTTATAAAGGTAGGATACATGATAGATGATAATGCAAAAGAGAGCCTACCAGCTCTAGGTTGCTCTTGGCAGCCTCGCTTCCCAAAATATCAGTTTCTTCCAGAGGAACATCAGACAAGACCTGCAGTATGGTAATACATATGTAACTTGATTGTTACAATGAGAACAGAACTTTACTACAAGAAGGTGCCACATTGCTAATATCACTGTATGTCGTGTAAAATATAGTTGTACGTATCTGTCTATGCTGTTACGCAACGTGTCCCTGATGAGCTAGCGTATGAGCGACCATATTTTTTTTTATTGGAACATAGACGCTAGAAGCGTCCGGCTTTAAATTAATAAAGCCACCAGGCAGCATCCACACATACTTAAGTCTTACAAACCGAATAAAACAGTCTTCGAGCCGTAGGCTCCGGATAAAGCTAAGAAGGAACAGACAATAGTTCTAGATCACAAAAGCGGAGCCTCAAGTAGATAGGTAGCTAAAGGTAGGAATCTCATGGTCACGCAGTCGACCCGTCTTGTCGAGCCTTCACCATGGTCATCTTGATCAGCTCCATAGTCTCCTTCATGCGTTCCTCGTCACGCTTCTCCCCCAACGGCGCCCATACCTAAAGGAAAATGTGACATTTGAAGATGATATCAGCGAGGTGGGCCGGGAACTTGTGTTCAAACGTAATATGTTGGGAACTGCTCGACACCCTAAATGGGGTGTGGCTCTTTCATTATATAGAGGTACCCACGGGGTACAATACAACGTTACAATATATGTGTACAGAGGCTATGTATATACAGTCTAACACCCTCCCCCAATCTTAACTGTGGCCTGAAGTACAAAGCACGTTAAGATTGCGCCTACAGCCTACAAACTGTGGTTGTGGAATAGGCTTCGTGAAGATGTCAGCAAGTTGATCGTTGGATGAAATAAACTTGATACAAAGTAGCTTCTGTGCAACACGTTCCCGAACAAAATGATAGTCAACCTCAATGTGTTTTGTTTGAGCATGGAACACCGGGTTAGATGACAGATAAGTAGCACCGATGTTGTCACACCACAAAACTGGAGGCTGAGCCGGAGAGACACGCAACTCTCTCAACAGAGACTGTAGCCATATGATCTCAGCAGTTGCATTAGCAACAGCTTTATATTCAGCTTCAGTACTACTGCGAGAGACTGTGGCCTGCTTACGAGCATTCCAGGCGATCAAGTTAGGACCAAGGAATACCGCATATCCCCTGTGGATCGCCTGTCATCAGGACTACCAGCCCAGTCTGCATCAGAGAAAGCTGAGAGCTCACATGATGGTGCAGACTGAAGAAGCAAACCATAGGAGGCAGTAAGGCAGACATAGCGCAAAATACGCTTCACAGCTGACCAATGAGATGTCCTGGGAGCATACAGAAATTGACACACACGGTTGACTGCATAAGAGATATCAGGCCTGGTAATAGTAAAGTATTGCAGACCACCAACAAGACTGCGATACTCAGTAGCATCATCAGACGAGAAAGAGTCTCCATCAAGAGCAGATAACCGATCAGTGGCAGACATCGGAGTGACAGCATGTTTGCACTGAAGCATTCCAGCACGCCGCAACAAGTCCAGAGAGTACTTTTTCTGAGTAAGAGTCAGCCCAGCAGAAGAGCGGGAAACCTCCAGACCCAGGAAGAAATGTAGTGCACCTAAATCCTTGACGGCAAAGTTATCACTGAGAGCGGTCACAAGGCGATCAGCAGCAACATCAGAGGAACTGATGAGAATAATGTCATCAACATAAACCAGAAGATACATCGTAACCTCAGGACGCTATAGGAGAAACAATCACGTAGCAGCAGTGGAGGGAGTAAACCCAAGGGCCCGAAGAACAGATCCAAGGCGAGCATGCCATGCTCGAGGGGCCTCCTTGAGTCCATAGAGCGCCTTAACCAGTCGACAGAGATGATGAGGACGTGCCGGATCAACGAAACCAGGCGGCTAACGCATATAAACCTCCTCCTCTAGAATGCCATGGAGCAAAGCGTTCTGCACATCAAGCTGACGAAGGAACCACCCACGAGTAACAGCAAGAGACAGCAATAATCGAATGATAGTAGGCTTGATGACTGTACTGAACGTGTCTTCATAATCAAGCCCATACCTCTATTTGAAACCCTTGGCGACTAGCCGTGCCTTGTATCGTTCGACGGAACCATTAGCATGTCTCTTGACTTTAAACACCCACTTGCAATCTATAACATTGACACCAGGTACTGGAGGAACAAGACGCCAGGTGTCATTCCTATTAAGAGCCTGAACTTCCTGTTCCATGGCAGCACGCCAGTGAGGGATGCTCAATGCAGCCTGAAAGTGGCGAGGTTCTGCAGTGGGATTGGCAGTAGTATGGGTCATGCATGCAGCAAGCCACGCAACCGTATCATCTGTGCGTTCCTTCGGACAAAAAATGCCTTGCTGGCTCCATGTTCGAGGACGAAGAACAACCGCAGGCTGCGGCGACGAGGCCGGCGTGGAACCAGACGAGTCCGACTCAGAGGAGGCTGAAGCAGAGTCTGGAGACCGAAGCAGGGCTGGTCGATGCAGGTGACCGCAATGTCGGGCCAGGCGAGGCAGCGGCCGGCAAGCCCAGCACCAGTCCAGGTGAGCCGGGCGAGGCCAGAGCCGGCCCAGTCAAGACGGCGACCCGTGAGCCAGGCGCGGGCACGCGTGGGTCGGGCGAGCCGGGCACCCGCGAGGCAGCCTCCACAGGTGAGGCGGTAGCGGGTTGGCGGGCGCCACCCGCCATGCATGGCGCATGCACGTCTGGAGCGGGAGTTACGTCCACGACCTGTTCATCAAGGAGCTCGAGACAGGCGCCGCTCCCAATACCTGCAGCATGATTAGGAAGCAGCGCAGGGGCATATGCAACATCCACAAATTGATCAGGCAAAGGTATAGACACAGGCACTGATGATATAGGAGTGGTAGAGTGAGTCGGAAGTGCACGGAAAGGGAACACATTTTCATCAAACACAACGTCACGAGAAATGTAGACGCGGTTTGTGGG